AGCAGCAGTCAGCAGCAGCAGCAGCAGCAGCAGCAGCAGCAGCAGCAGCAGCAGCAGCAGCAGCAGCAGCAGCACGCACGCAGCAGCAGCACGCACGCACGCACGCACGCACGTCACGCACGCACGCACGCACGCACGCACGCACGCACGCACGCACGCACGCACGCACACACACACACACACACACACACACACACACACACACACAGGTTTGAAATCGAGTATCAAGAAATTTGATTCTCAATTTAAGATATTTTCTACGTATCTCCAAATACTAAATTTTATTGTATGGAATTCTTCCGCTTATTTTTTTTGTACCTAGGTGAACGCTATAACTAACGATAACTATACGGCACTCCATATAGCCGTGGAAAGTGTCAAACCAGCTGTCGTGGAAACCCTTCTGGGATACGGCGCAAAGGTACACGTGAGAGGTGGAAAACTTTGGGAGACTCCACTTCACATAGCTGCTAGAGTGGCTGATGGCGACGAATGCGCTCTGATGTTATTGCAATCTGGAGCAAATCCCAATCTAACAATCAACGACGGTCAAACGTCCGTGCATGCGGCAGCCAGCCATGGGAATTTAGCGACACTACTTTTACTTCTTCGCAATGATGGTGACCCGATGTTTAAATCAAAAGTACGTCGACACAGCAAGAAATAAGTTATAATTTTTAAAAATACAACTTTTATCTAATATTGTAATATAATTAAACAAATTAAACGTTGTTTTTTCAATATGTTTTAACAAATGATTATATAATAATTTTCTCAAAACAATGAATGTTAAATTATTTCTATTTATTCTGAGCTTTCTATTTTCCTCAGACAGGAGAAACACCTTTGCATTTAGCCTGCAGGGGTTGCAGAGCTGACGTCGTCCGACATTTGATAGAATTTGTAAAAGAAAGGAAAGGGGCAGAAGTGGCGACCGCCTATGTGAATAGTCTGACTAACGAAGGTGCTAGTGCGCTCCATTACGTAGCCTTAATCGAATCCTCGGAAGTTGGAACTCCAGGCGATGATCGCTCCATCATTCACGTCCTCCTTGAGAGCGGCGCGAACGTCTCATTGCAGACCAGACAGACTCAGGAATCAGCGTTCCACCGCTGTGCACTCGCCGGCAACAACGAAGTTCTGACGGAGATGATCAGTCGCATGTCAGCTACGGAAATGCAAAAGGCCTTGAACCAGCAGAATGCCGTGGGTTGGACGCCACTGCTGATTGCCGCTCATCGGGGTCATACGGAAATGGTGACCACTATCCTCGCCAATCACGGACGAGTCGACGTGTTCGATCTCGACGGTAGATCCGCTTTTCATCTAGCCGCTGAGCACGGCTACCTTCAAGTCTGTGATGCATTGTTGGCTAACAAGGCTTTTATAAACTCCAAATCATACGTGGGAAACACTGCTCTGCACTTAGCTGCCATGAATGGTTACACGCATTTAGTACAATTCCTCGTACAGGACCATAGAGCCGAAATAGACGTGCTCACACTGAGGAAGCAAACTCCTCTTCATCTGGCAGCGGGAGCGGGTCAGTTGAAAGTCTGCAAGCTATTATTGGAACTCGGCGCAAGCATAGATGCTACAGACGACCAGGGACAAAAGCCGATTCACGCTGCGGTCATGAA